TAGACGGGCTTATGTCGAATATTCGTTCATGCAGTTTGTGTTTTCTTTCTTTTTTTTATTTTTTATTTCTTCGGCTGAACGTCGAATCAGCAACCCCTGAGGATGCCTCGTAGAGAGGCGAAACACGGGTCGGGTACATTTTCGGTGGTGGTGTCTGTGGCTGTTGTTGCGCTTGTGTTATTTATTTTTTGTTTTTTGTAATATCAAGTAACGGAACAAACAAGTCGGTCGCCTGATGGTAAGCTACACGCCCATGACAATTCAGTGCCACTCAGAGCTTAAATCGCAAAACAAGCGCCTGTAATTTCACCCGCACCCTTACCCTTCAAAACCGGAACACAGTAATACTGACATTACTATTTGGCGGCAGAAGTAAGTTAGGTACAAGGCATTAATTTTATGCGGAGAGAGCATGGGAAAATTAACTGCACGGAAAAAAAACAACATAAGCTATTTTGCACTATTTAATGTTCACTGGGTTCGCGGATTAGCAAATTAATTATGTAATACAAAAACACAAATTAATTTTATAACAAACTTGTGGCATCTACAACTCAGCTACAGAGAGCGATGGGAGGTCACAAAATTCTTCATATAATAAGAATGAAAAAGAGGCGCATTTCGCTTCAGCTCGGACTGCATGCCGCCGCATATTTTCTCTCTTATACGTAAAATTTTTCTGACCAGCTTAATGCGATTTCATGTCGATAAATATGGTAACTCCTATAAGAATTACATTGCCCTCGCTGACATTCTGTCGTAATCCATAATGGCGTAATACACTAAAAATTATGAAATACAGAGTTCCACTCAGTAAAAACGATATTTACATAGAATTAAAATTACAAAATATTCAAGAACAATACAGTACTGACGCAGACATTAACCGAATAAAAAAATAAAGTAAATTAGACGAAACGCTCGGTCCACATAATTTATTGTAAAATACGAATAGGTAAAAAACAGGAAAAGGAACAAAGACAAAGGTAAAGGTAAGGCTGTGATAAAACAAAGTAACGGTATAACACAGGTACAATCATATATTCCTACTTAAATTACATTCAGGTCAAACATGGTAAAAAAAGAACTGATCCTAAAAGGGCTTGTATTTGTACAAAAAATATGCTTCACAAGCAGTTAGGTTACATGATTTTCAATGGTATAACTAGTCAGAATTTTATATGAAGTCGAGCACGTCTGCTCACTTCGGAAATACACACGTTATTTTCGGTTGACAACTCTCCGTTAACTTTCGGTTTTCACGATCAGTGGTGATGCGTTTGTTCTGTGTTACTATTAGACCCGCTAACGGCGAATCGGTCAATAGCATATCGCAAAGATCAGCGCGAACATTTCAGTTTTAGAAATCTTTAACTGTGTTTTCCTTTGCTCACACAGAAGCTGTTCTAAATTAATTAATATAAAATTATTCCTATCTTTTAGTCAAGTTTCAACAATAGCACTAAGTGGACCAAAATCAAAACACCAAAAACGCGTTAGACGGTTACACAGGGCGACTTTTAGCAGTGATGCAAACGCGATGCAGAGCGATGCATTCGCTAATCATCTACTTTTTCACACGCATGCGCACACGCACATTTTAAGCAGCGCGTGACAGCATCGCTACACTTGGGATTTATATGCAATCGCCTATAAATCGCAAGTGTAGCAATGCAATCGTCATCAAATTGCATCACCACCCTTAGAGTTTGAACCACTCTTAGATCACTGGACGTACTTACACAACGATCGGAAATAAAAACAAAAAAGTTTTTTTTTTCACCACTTGTTTTACAGCTTGCAGTGTGGGGTGATTGTTTTGAAACCTTTTAAATGGCGAATAAACAATTCTTAAACCGAAGTGCCTGTTTTTTGCAATACTCATTGTGTACGTTCGGAATTCTTAGGGTGCTCAATACTTTGACCAAGGCGGTGCTTCTGCCGCCAAGCTGTAATGTGAGCGTTATTAAGTTCAGACTTTGAAGAGTAAGATGCTGGTGAAAGTATAGGCACATGTGACTTGTTAACTTTATGTTTTAGAGCAACGGGTGCAGTAGCAGGGCTTCTCAGATCTTTGCGATTTAAAGCTATGGATGGCACTGCAACTGGGTAGACGTGTCACTTACCACAAGACACACATTTGTTCGTCATAAAAAAGAGATTGCAATGGTTATGGAGGCGTGTGTCACTTTTTTCTTACATACATACATAGTACGCGGAATTAGATACTGTTGAAGTGCATTTTGTAATTGTTTAAAGTCAGAGTGAATAGGTATCACCTGGACGACAGTCCTGGGCTACAAATTCACTTTCCATCGAATGAGATTGTATAGAAACAGTCAGATCCTAAGTGTCTAGGTACTTTGCATGAATTCAAATTGGACAATCTCAAAGTGGTTGCGAATTCGTAGCATGAATAAAACATTTCGGTTTGACACAAGTCGATGTTAAAGCCAGACATAGTACTTAAAAGCGAACAAAGTGAAATAAAACAAACTCAAATTATTTGGAGACAAAAATGCTTTCGTTGTGTTTAAAAATACTTTCCTCCGACTCAATAATCTTGTAAAGAACGTTTTTTTGAAGACAAATTTTTAGTGATTACCCAAACATCAATAGAAGTGAACACATTACATAATTTTTGAGATATTAAAAAGATAAAAATATTTATATGTCATTATTTTCAGCATCCATGTGTCAGCGACAATGTGAAGTGAACTAATGTGTAACCGGTTACGTCTGTATATTTTTAGATTTACTTGATTTGTCTTTTTATCAAAAAAGATCGAGCAAAGACAAACAAAAATTTCTTCCGAACTGGGGTTATAAATATACCTACAGTGTTATTTTTAATGTTACAGTATGGAGAAATCCGAAACCACAGAAGATACAAGGAACCTGTCTTAGGAACCATTAAGTCTCTTCTTCTGAAAATAATTTTGGCATAGCCAATTTTTTGGTCAAGCGTAAGTTGTCCATAAAAATGAATAAAGTCGATCATAATTTTTTTAGCGGTGATCGACTCAGTTTTATATCGGGATTGTTTCATTGTATATGACGAAAAAAATCGGGACAACAGAAGTTGGTAAGATTTCTTAAAACGTTTTTCATACAAAATGGATAAAATCGACTTTTTTTAATGCTAATGGACTTAGCTTCTTGTAAGGATTATTTAATTTTACTGCATCTTTATTCTTCAAAACCGGAACGCAATAATGGTCACATTACTGCTTGGCGGCAGAAATAGGTAAGGCAGCATTTACCTGGATAAACCCTTTCACAAAGAGCTCTACTGCTGCTAAATACTTATTATAAATGCTAAACAATGATACCTAAGTAAGACAGTAATGTCCGAAGAGTATTCTATTTTACTTCTATTTCCGCAGACAATAGAAAATTTTGAGTAATGTTTTAAATGTAGCTGTGACGTGTCATCTTGTCACGCGACTTGTCCTGTCGCGCGACAGACGATGCCGTATGATAGACATGTGAGAGACACGGACGTCATTAAATATACATAATGGAACTTCCTATTTGACAGTAACGAGAACGCCTTGTTGTTATGACGAAAATGAGACAATATAATATGTAGCAGGAATCATGAGAGAGGACTGATTTGAAAACAATATTTTGATTTAAATCTCCCTTTGGGTTATTTCTAATTAGCCCGAAATCATTCAACGGCGCGGTCATAAAATTAAAAAGAAAATCTTACACTACAATTCCTTTTTTTGGTGAAATTACAGGGACATGAGTCTTGTCAACTTATATCTCAGGGTAACGGGCACAGTGGTAGTGCCTCTTGCGATTTTAAGCTCTGAGTGGCACTGCAACTTGTTCGTCCCGTCATATGCACGAAATACTATTTGTTTCACGATCATATACTCGGACACTTAAACAATAAAAATTGCCAACGTAATTAAGTAGAGAAAACTAACCTGAAAATTACCCACATTTGATTACACACATACAGATCGAACGGCATGTAAAATGTAACGATTTTGAAAATAACTAAACTCATAATCCATCCTCAGGACGCCAATGGATTTATGCGCCTGCGGTTATATTTATATAATCACAGTGTTATTCCATAATTATCCACTTTCAAAGTTGAAACGGACACAGTAATCAGAGTGGACGTTTGAAGTGTATCAATTTCCTAAAGAAAAGGATCGCGTCGTCGGAACACTATCACCTAAAAAGCGCATTATCTGATCATGAGGTTAAAGTGCGGACCGGGGTTTAAAAAACCTGGTTTTAATGTTCATTACGTCCTCGGAAATACGACTTAATCTGTAACCCTTGAGTCTAAAATTACATTTCGTTACATTGTTGCTACAAAAGTTACATTTTACAAATTCGTTTTTGTAATTAAGAGCGCTACTTGTAACAGATCAAGATCGATCAGAAAAAAATAAAAATAAAAAAGTAAATATGCTCAAGAAAAATTCAATCAATGTAATATATGTATGTGAACTTCAATTAAATATACAAGCCATGACACTACAAACTGCATGACTATCTGTCGTCACGACTTAATGGGAACGCGCCCTTACTTTATTGTCTAATTTGGGTGCGTTCGTAAATAGTCGATTAAAAAAAAATTCAACGTCCTCCAACATTACGAAAATTGCCTTAAAACCAAAAAATTCGTATTGCGCGAGAAGGTCAAAAGATACGAAAAATTAAGAAATGTAATCATATGGCGTGAGGCCCGAAGTCATTTCGTTTACTCACGACGTAGTTTTTGCTGTTCATTACTTTAATGCTGATTACTAAATCTGAAATGAGTCAGTGAGCGATAGTTTGTAAGAACCGTCAATGCACTACCAAAAACCCTGATCATAAAACATTGTATAAATAGATCTACATCGTGCGCATAATCCTTAAAACCAGACGAATCCAGTTTAAACCAGCTTCGACTAGATTTAACACGACTTTGTCTAAAATGTGCTGAGTGAATAAGACTGTTCGCATTAAAACGAGGTATTTACACGTACTTCGGCTAGACGAGGACTAAGTGGGGTGGTATAATCTTGAGAATGCTGTTCAGTCGAGATCGCAACGACGTCGGTTGTCTCAATCTGAAACATTAGAATTTATTTTTGGGTAATTTTTAGATTACTTTTCTCTACCTAATCTCGGTGGTAATTTTTATTATTTACGTATTTAATATAGTTAAAACAAACCTAAAAACAATATTATATTTTATTATATTTTCATTATCGTATTTATTTACTTTCGAAATTATTATTTGCTTAATTTATACAACATGGAAATGTCGATAGCTAGCTGGTTATGGTATTCACGGCATTCTCTAGGTTATAGCTGAAAATCAGCGGCTTGCTCCTGAGTAAACACCTACGACGACTGAGAGCTAAGGCCTTTTTGCACTGCTACAGCACACATACATGACTGGGTGTCAGGCAGTGCTGCGACTCTGCTGTTTTTTTCTTTTTATTATATTACATATTTTTCTGTTATGTATTGTGTCTGTGGAACCAAATAAACGATTTATCTGTCTATCTATCTACAATGTTCTAGAAAAGTAAACTGAAAATTACCCTTGTATTTTTCTTTGCTTCGAATGACTTACATCGAAGTTTTTCAATGAACCTTAGACTCTTACCTTCGAAATATTCAACTACTAAGTATTGATTTTATTGCATATCATAATGTTCTACTACTATATTCAACTATTTTTGTGAAATGACTCCACTTGTATATTTACAACCTCCTTAATCAAGTGGCTTGCACACCGATTTTCATAATGTCGCCATCTCGGAGTCCCGGATTCGATTCCCAGCCGGATCAATGTAGAAAACTAACTTTTCTATATTGTCTCGGGTCTGAGTGTTTGTGGTAACGTTATTGTTTCTGATTTCAATAACACATATGTTTTAGCTACTTACTTTGGGATCAACGCAACGCATGTGATGCTGTCCAATATTAATTTAGTTTGTTATAATTAATGGACTGTCGGGTATGAAATATTTGCTATGTAATAATTTAGCCTACATTTATTTATCTCGTGAATTTTGGATGTAATTTGTGGTTGTCTATGTGTGTGTCCATGGCGCCCGCGACACAGGGTTTCCCTAGTGCGGGGCTACGTTGAGTGTATGCGTTTATTATAACAAAAAAAATAATAATGAAAAAAAAGTAATGCAGTGCAAAAGTAAAAAAAAAATGTTAAAAAGTGCAGTCGATTTGAGAACTTCTTATTTTTCTATTTAAGAAATATTTATATATACATATATATAAAAATTGTTAATATAAAGGTCGAACACAGAGAAAAATTCATTCATTCAGACTTTTTATTTTTGATTTTTTTTTACAAAAAGCAGGTAAATCTAAAAAACATTTGTGGTAAACTGTTACCGAAAACCGCTTCCAAATTCGTTCACCTATTTAAAAGGTTATGTTATGTTATTGTGTAGATTTTTATGAACTGTCACAGGAATAATCCGAGATGATTTTTAGTGTAATTACGATTTCACTTACACGATATCACAACCGTGATCAATAATTAGTCTGGCCCGCAAACCAAACATCAATAGAATCCAGTCAACAAGCCGTCCCTGCGGAGTATTTACAGTTTGATGCATTGCCTTCACATTGCCATAACTCTGCGGTACTGTGACATGAATGCTTGAATTAGTTCTGGGTTTTGGGACGTTTGTAACCATTGTTTATGGGGAATATTGCTTATAAGACGTGACTGATATTACAACAGATGCTGAAAATTTCTTTGTTGGTAATAATATTTAGGTACAAGCTGGAACTATGTACCGACGCAACAGTTTGTCGACTCAATGAAGGAAGAGAAGATAGAATGAATGAATGAATGAATGAATTAATTAAATATTCTTTATTGCACATTAAAATTACAATGACAACATAGAACTGTAATGTAAGTATCACAGAGTAAGCTAATGTACGACAAGTGGTGCAACTTTGTGATTAGAAGCTGTAGTAGGATGGGGTGTAGAGGGTGGTAGAGACTTGCTCGGCTTGCTGGTGCTGGTGTACTACTTCCAGGAATCAAACGACAGACAGGAAATTTGGTGAAGATAACTTGGTTTATTGTACAGATGCTTACAATACACAAGTGTCCATTAAAAGGGATTCGTCCCGTAAGATGCAAGCGCGGCGCAAAGTCCGCGACAAGTCCCGGTGGGTGCGAATCTTACAAAAAGACACTCACTCAGAGGTGTTCTCGTAGCCTGTCCCGAAAAATAAGCGTGAGTTCGAGATGCTTCCTTAGTCATGAGGATAACGAAAATAATAAAAGGTCTCATCACGCCTTGAACCTCTGCAACTGCGTAGAGATGTTGCATCGCTTAGCGCCTTTTACCGCATGTACCATGGTGAGTGCTCTGAAGAGCTGTTCAACCTCATCCCCCCTTCCCCGTTCCTGCTCAGAAGCACGCGTGCTGGCCTTCGTAGTCACCGTTTCACTACCTGCCGAATTCCATCGCGTACTAAAAGGTTCGGTGGCTCCTTTCTCTGCCGCACGGTTGACAAATGGAACTCCCTTCCGGCACATGTCTTCCCTCCCTCTTATGATATGGGGTCCTTCAAACGAGGCGTGAAGAGGCATATTGTAGGCAGGCAGGGTGGAGGTGGCTAGTGCAGTGAGGATTTCATCGCTGCACTAGGTTCCTTCGCGTTTGGATACCACTTTCCACTTAACATCAGGTGGAGTGGAGTCATTTGCCTGTCATGTATAAAAAAAAAAAAAACCGTAGATAAGCAATCGTTGAATCGATCAATTATAACTATAGATAAGTAGAAGAATAGATCAGATCTCATACAAAATACTAGGACCTGTCCCTGGTATTTTGTATTACATTAGGGAAAACTTTAACACCGCGAATCAGAAATTGCGTTTTCTGTGCCAATGCCATCTAGTAAACATCGAAACTCTTGTTACAAATGTTGATAAGTTATTGAGTTTACAAAGCTTTTTTCGATAATAATTGTGTCCAGCTGTAATTTGAAGACAAGGTAGACGCTTATAGAAGCGCTACAATTGCGCCGCTGTGGCCACTACTAGTAATCACACAATATTTGGAAGCGCAGTTGAAGCGAGCACAATTTGTGAAATAAGAACTATTGAAGCGTTACAGATGCGCGGCTGCCAGGCCACAGTCGCGTCGTTGCAGCGCTTTTACCAGCGTGACACTTGTGACGCGTTTACAGCTGAATTTCCCGGGTGCTATACACATAAACAACCAGAAATTACACCCAAACTCACGAGAAAAATAAATTTAGGCCATAGAAATATCACTCCCGGCCTGGTAATCGAACCCGTGACCTCTGCGTAGCAAATATGTTGAGCGTGTGCGATATTAAAACAATGTACTATTATTATCACTTTTTTCTTTCTTTTTTTAGCGTATATTGGGCGCACTATAAGTGTCCTAAACTGGCCACTTACACAAACAATATTTAAAAGGTAATTACAACGTTTCATTTGACTGTCACTTGTTTTTAAATTGTGGCGTCATTTTAGAAATTGGTTGTCTATATCACCATGGATTTAACTCGTGAAAATTTTCGTAGTATGATTTTCTACGACTTCAAGTGTAATGTAACAGCTCAGCGGAACTTCGCTCGGCTCCAAACTGCTTTTGGCGATGAAGCACCATGCAAGACGACTACTTATAGCTGGTTTGCAGAATTCAAACGCGGTCGTGTGAATCTCAGTGACGAATTTCGCGATGGTCGCTCGTCCACTGCTGTGAATAACAAAAACATCGATGCTGTGCGCCGTATGATCAAAACAGACAGGCATGTGACATACCATGAAATTCGGGCATCTTTAGGCATAGGCATGAGTCAAATACAATCAATATACGTAAAAATAACCGTAAACGCCGTATCATCGTGCACCACGATAATGCCAGTTCTCACACGGCCAGACAGACAAATTAATTTTTGAAGGTGAACAACGTTGACCTTAAGAGCCATCCCGCGTACAGGCCCGACCTGGCACCTTGTGACTTTTATTTATTTCCAAAAATTAAGAACCAGTGACGCGGTCAACGATTTTCGTCACCTGAAGAGGCTGTCGAAGAGTACGAAAAATATGTTTCAGAGATTGTCATAGAGTAGTGGCATAAAAGTTTTCAAAATTGGTTCATTCGTATGAAAAAGTGCATTAACGCCAACTGGGAATATTTTGAGAAACAATAAATTAATTTCTGACCATTTATAACATTTTTTTCTTATTCATTCCGAAAACTTATGGTGCGCCACACGCACAGACCGAAATTAAGTAAATACAGTGCTGTGTTCATCTGTGTATAGGGTGTGTAATAAGAGCTTACCGCGCCCTTTTCCATCTGCATGAACTTTCTGACAATTCGGCATGTATTTAAAATTACAGCATTTTGCAAGGTAATGTACACTTTCTTAAAAACCTAATAATTTGAGGGTATGGAGGAAATGATTGCGAATAACGTAACGTTAGTATCATTATACTAACATTATTAATGTGAATCCTATCTCTTAATAATGCATACCGTCCTGACTATTAAGTACCACGAAGCTTTTGTATACCAAACAAAACTAAATCGACTAAAATTAATCGTAGTTTAACATAAAATGTTATACAAGATTGTTTATAAGAATCCTACAAAAAATCCACCAGCATTCCGCACAACAGTGTAAAGCTATCTTTATATGACCAAAAAAATGCAAAAAACGTGCCACCAGATGACGCACTCATGCATATGCAAAAATGCAGCGGGTTTTAAAGACAGTCTACCGAGAAATGTAATTAAAGTAGCACACTCCACTTTAATTACTGAAGCTTTTTGAATTCTCGGACAACTCCTACAAAAGAATTGACACAGGGTATTGTCACAGGGCATCATCTTTTTAAAATCAGCACGCTGAAGTATACGAATTTTAATTTTCTGTTCCAATGCGTTTAGCTATGGAAAAAACGGATTTGGTTATAAATTTCTCAACAAATAACGTTGAAAGTTTTCTATTCGTTAATGCCTGCGTAAAACAAGATTCCTGGAAGCGTCATGATGACAACATTATTTATAATTCACGGTTTCAAAATGAT